ACTTAAAGATTAAAACAATTGATAGATGTAAATTAGATGACTTGATGGCTGCAAGAGCAAGTGCCTTAAACTCATTTAAGTTAACATCTTTACGCATTAAACGGGATTTCGCATTAAATGCAGGGCAACATGAAATATAGTTGTTTAAAGACCAAGCTCAAGCAGGATGCATTGCGGGAGGAGTGGCCTTTCTCGGTATTATCTGCTTTACAGAAAAGAAAGCCTACCGTGTGTGCAATATTATCCGACTAAATCTTTGCAATCTTGATCGAGAACCAGCTATTTATACCCTCACCTTGTTTCTTCAAGTGTCTATCGTCTATTTACCACGTATTTTTATCGTTTCATTCCGCGTTCGCGATAAGGAACCCATTAAACAAAAGAGCATATAACTGAGGCCCTGAGTTTGATCGGGTGTCACCGTTTTTTTTTCCTATAACACTAACAAGCAGCTAGATCTTACCAGTTTTGTTAGAAACATCTTGATGATGTGAGCCGGAATAAGTTCCCAGAATACTCCAGTGATGCGACAGACACCATGGGTCGCTGTAGCTCTCACTGTAGGGTGTGGATCCTCCATCAAGTCCTGTCCAGAAGAGAGATTTTCTGTTATCATGATCACGCTCAATTTGCAACCTACGGTATTTCTAACCGAAAGGATGGGTGCTACACATGTTGCCAAACTAAAAAATTGTCCAACATACACAATACCTTCAGAATATCAAACTGCTTCTGAAGAAGTTCGTCAATCTCTTCATTTCCAGCATCTGGATTTTGCAATGGAAATGTATCTGTCAACAGAGCTGCTGCATTAGCTCTGACCATGGGATTTGCCACCTGAATGGAGAAAGATCAAATTTCCTTATCAAAATAATTTCAGTCTTCACGTAGAATATCGTATGTTCCAGCAAGCATAGTGGTTGCTGAGCATAGTGCTTTGTTACCAGTAGTTATTTCAAAATGTGCCTGATTCAGCACTTATCTGAGATGCGTGTAAGTACTCAGTACTTTAGGGAAAGCTACAGGAACAGGTGTTTTTGTTTTTTATTTTTGTAGAAAAAAAAAACATTTCACCATGATACTGCACTTATTCCCTATTGGAGGGTCATCTTTGCATGAATAACAGTGCTCAATAAAATTTTGTTTTTGTTAATGTACTGTAATTATGTTGGTGTATGCACACACCTTGAATGCTCTCCATATAATTGGCTGGTACAACCTTAGAAGAGCTTCATCAACTCCTCTTTGCTTCTTTTGCTGATGAATGTATTCTAAAACCTAAACACAGACATCAACAGATAGTAAACTTAGGTAAATCATTTTACTACAATGTCACATATTAAAAAGGAAGACACGAAGTATAGTTGTAACATAAAAGTCTATACAGTGTGCATTGAGTAGATTTTGGGTTGTTGTTTTTTTTCCTATACAATGACAAAATTACAACTCCAGTCTAGAGATAATTTGCTCCCTCTGTGAATGCAAATTTTTATACAGAAGTGCAAAACAGTGACGTTCAGTGAAACAACTGATTGATTGGTATTTCCTGTCTTTTTATTACTTCAGTGATAATTTCTCCCTTTAACAAAATTTTGGCTAAGATGATAACCCAGTATGATGCAATTCAAAACGCTTTACAAGTACATTTGGCAATTGCTGTTGCTTTCGTACTTTCGTACTTTGCCAGCAGCTACAGGTTGCTTTGTCAATTACTACAGTTTTGTGTTGGGTATTTGAAATATTTTGGTGTCCAAAAGTCCAAAATCAGTTATTCTGATGGTCAGATCAAAATTTTTGATTTTCCAAAAGAGAAAATCAAGACCAACAAACCATCTTAATACCCTTATTTATTACATGACTCGGGCAGTCAGAGGTCCAATAACTAAAATCAACCAATCAAAATGCTCTATTGCCGGTCAATATTCTCTCAGTATTGGACCAGGCACTGTCCCGAATGGTCCCAAATGATATCGCACTTGTGTCCCTTTGAACTTCAGTCGTATAATAAATCTCTCATTAACCAAGCTTGCTCAGGACTGTACTGGAAGAATATCGGCCCTCGGTCTTTTTTGTACGGACCGAGCGCAGCAAAGTCCATACTGTCAAGACCTTGGGCTGATATTCTTCCAGTACGGCCCTTGTGCTTGGTTAATAAGATATATCTATTGCATGACAATCAAGTTTTTGGATAAGATACTCAGGTTACATGCACATTTGACCCTTGCTGTCATCTCATAGTGATGTATGATCTCTTGAGATAAAGTTGGCTCTGTAAAACAAAGCACACTCAGTCTGCATCTGAACTGTTTAATCTGTTATATAGTACCAGGTTACCTTTCGCAGTCTTGATGCCATCGACTGAGTACCAGTACGCTGTGCATGAACTGCAGCAAACATCAGGTCTTGTATACAGTTCTCTTCTAAAACCTGAAAATAATAAGAAACAAGGCCTATGTTTATAAAATCACCCCTTCTGAAACATGTTCTGCAACATCAATGGGCCAGACCAAGAGAGTATTCAGACAGATTCTGGGGTTTAAAATGAACCAACATAATGACTAGCTCCCAGTTGGCTTGTAAGCTCAGTTGATAGAGCACTCAGTACCAGTATCGCACAGGTCAAGGGTTCAAATCCCGCGTGGGCCTGAATTTTTTTTCAGGCCTTAATTCCATAACAGTAACTGCATAAGTAGGGTTTCTTACTGTGAGGATCACTATCATACCCTCCCACATTTGTTTCACACAACTGCTTCACCCCTAACTAATACTTGTACATGTAAGGGTAGTTGTATGTTGTGTAAAACCAAAAAAAGGTCAACGCCTAAGAGTAGAATATCATAGTAAAGAAAATAAAAGGTTTAAACTTGAAAGAAACAATTGATCAAGTTGGATGATCATGGCCTGTGGTTATTCCTAAGAAGAAATGTTGTCAGACATATATATAAGCACTGCTTTTTTTCCTCTTTGTAACCTCATTACATAAGGAAGCCATCATCTGAGTCAAGGAAGGAGGTTTTTGTCAGTCAAGCAAGCAAGCAACAGACTTACAAACATCAAATTACAACAAGTTACTTCAGTCTGTTAAAGTTGACAAAATGTCAGCTATGCTTTACATGTAAGTTGAGTTCATAGTGAACACCAAAAACAGTCCTCTTCAGGATAAAACTAAAATCACTGTATACTGTAAAAAGTTACAAATGATGTTAAAAAACCATGCACCTTTAAGTAAGCTCCAGAAGCAACTCTCCAGGCACGAAAATAAACTTCACCATATAAACTCAGTACATTCCTGTGTGGGGATATACAGTTTGTAACATTATGCAACCATATAACAAATTACATGTCTGATTACAATCTGTTGGGAGATACACTAACTAGTACAAATTTTATCGGCCTTGGTCATTTTGAAACCCTAAGTAAAGGCATTGCCTGTTCTGTTCATTAGTGACTGAAACTGTGCTAAGTGTTCTTTTAAAAAACAAACAAAAAAAAAAACACAAACAAAAACAAAAACAAACGAAAAACAAAGGCAACTCATGAAATAAGTGTGATGATAATAAGTTCTTATGAGGAATTGCACTTACATAGAACAGTACGGAATCTGGTTCTTTATCGTCCTATGGAACTCCTTGGAGAGTCCAGGATTTAATCCAAATGCATAGCTTAAGAAACGTCGCCCCTTCAGAAAGATGAAACAAAGGTTGCCATGAGTGGTTTGGTAACTTTTTTGATGATTTAAATCTCTGAATTTTTATTTTCATATATTCGACTATACTTGCTGACTATACTTGGCCAATGATGACAGACTGTACTGGGCTAATAATGGTACCACTATACTGGGCCAATGATGGCCCACCATACTGGGCCAATGATGGCCCACTATACTAGGCCAATAATGGCTCACCACATACTGGGCCAATGATAGCCAACTACACCAGGCCAATGATGGTACACTATAGCTTGCCAATAATCGCTGAATATACTTGGTCAATGATGGTACCCTACACTGGGCCAGTGATGGCACACTATACCAGGCCAATGATAGCCAACTATACTTGGCCGATGATGGCACACTATACTAGGCCAATAATACCACACTATATTGGGCAAATGATGGCTGACTATACTTAGACAATGATGGCAGACTATACTGGGCAAATGATGGCACACCATACTGGGCCATTAATGGCTGACTATACTGGGCCAATGCTGGTACCCTAAACAGGGCCAATGATGGCACACTATACTAGGCCAGTGATGGCTGACTGTACTCAGCCAATGATGGCACACTATACTAGGCCAATGATGGCTGACTGTACTTGGCAAATAATGGTACACTATACTTGGCCAATGATGGCCTATTATACTGGTCCAATAATCATGTATAATTTTTTTTCAAGACCAGACATTTGTTTGGTTGATTATTCAGATACCACAGTAACCTATAGTCTGGTTTAATACTGGTGCAGACACATCTGAACAGTTTATCAGGGGTGTGGTCTAGCAGCACCCGCTGGCCCCTGGTGCCTTACTTTGCTCTTGGGTGACTCAGGAATCTTAGTTTTTTCATAAAAGGCATATGCTGGGCACCCTGAATTTCACAGTTTCACTCAGCACTGGGCTCCCTTCAATTTTTCTTAGAGCACAACCTTGGTTTATGTTTTCATCATTTCAACAAACCTCCTCCAACTTGAGGTATACTGGGTGGATCATACATTGATGAAGTAGTTGCTTTAATGATTCAGAAGAGTCATCATCAAAGTCCATAAGATGAAGACACTGGCGTAAACTCCACACACGGTTCACATCAGAAATCTACAATGCAGTCATCATTGGGAATATTGTGTTACTAGCGATCACTACACTAATTTTCTGATAGAAAGAGAGTTTCACATACATGTACACTGCACAATTTACATGTAAAAAAGGAAGATATATGTACATCAAAATGTATTGGACCAGAGAGACTAAATGAGATAACAAAATCTTTTCCAGAAGCACTTGTCAAGTTCTTTTCAAAAGTTTCTGTTACACACTTAGATTGCTTAGATTTATTATTAATAAGATAATAAACAGACTTTATGGTCTAGACTCCTCAAGCCTTTTTTACATGTGCACATGATTAAGTAGTTAACCATTGTTCCAAACTTACATGTTAATCTCCATCCACAACAACAACTTACCATAGTTTTAAATAATTATTCTTTTTTTTATAGTACAACTGGTAAATGGAATAATTTGCCAAAAGAAATTGCCGAGGCAGACGATTAATTTTAAAGGTTTTTAAGGATACAGACTAAAATAATATCTTATGAGTGTTTTAATAGAACATCAAATTACTTGAAGGTGTGATATTTTTGCATTTTGAAAGATATGTATACATTTTACATTTTTAAAATAATTATTTTTAGGAGATAAACAAGATTAGGATAACCTCTAGGCTCTTTTACACTTGTATCTACTTTTTGCTTTTCTGTTGAATTGCAGACAGATTATTATTATTATATCTTATTAACCAAGCGCAAGGGCCGTACTGGGAGAATATTGGCTTGAGGTCTTGACAGCACGGACCGAGGGCCGATATTCTTCCAGTACGGTCCCGAGCAAGCTTGGTTAATAAGAGATTTATTATATGACTGGTTCAAAGGGATACAAGTGCGGTATCATTCGGGACCATTCAGGACAGTGCCCGGTCCAATACTGAGAGGATATTGACCGGTAATAGAGCATTTTGATTGGTTGATTTTAGTTATTGGCCCTCTGACTGCCCAATTCGTGTAATGTTATTACTTACAATTCCTCTGCCAAGGCTCTTGATTATCAAGTATGGGAAAGCTTGTGTGATCAACTCCTCCTTTCCTTCCAGTTCATTGAGAAACCTACAATGGATTTAGAAAAAAAATTTGATTGGTTGCATGTCACACACGAAATAGGTAATCCAAGATTTATGGAGAAACAACAAAGACAAAATATCAGTTTTATCTTATGCTATAAATAATTATGACGCATGTTGAATAACAAACTCACCAAAGTTCACACAGCTGAGCAATATCATTCTGCAAAGATTCATATCCTTCCGGCAGGGACATCAAGAGACCTAAAGATACATATAGTGCATGTGGGTTTATATGCAGAAAGTGGAGAACTCTTAACGGTGGCCAATTTACACTTTCAACTTAGTTGACATAACCAAATTACCTTGTTACCCCCACCAACAGAGCACCACAATTTCTTTAGAAACTTACCCCCTTTATGAACTTCTTCTAGTCTATGGCTAGTTGGCCACAGTTAGTGTCGAGCCCTGGTTTTATCAACAGAATTGATGATGTAATTTGGCCACTGTATAGAGTTTCTAAAGGTGATCTTTTGAGTGTTAGCACTTTGTTTTTCTCTCTGATGACCTGTAAAACCAAATTATTGTCCCGTTGTACTCTTTACTGACACAGCACCACAATTTCTCTAGAAACTCACCCCCTTTAGTTACTTGTTGACATGTAGATAAACAAAATTTTCATGTACATGAAGCAGCATAAAGAGTGTCAGGGTTGTCAAAACGATTTTGAGTACTTGCACTGCAGTGCAAAATTGGTGGCAGTAAATAGTCTAAGCTGAAGTCACAAGCATTTGGAAGAGTGCATTTTCCAGAGGACGGTGTATAGAATAATCATGTCACAAACCATGAAGAATGACAGCTGTTTCCAAAAAAGCTGAAGAAACATGGGTGGACTTCTCTAGTATCACAGCTAAAGCACAGAGGGCAACTTTTGTTACCCCCTCCAGGTGTGACAGAAGAACAGGCCATTCCTTAGAGGAAAATCATACAGACATTAATCTTCCAAGCTGGAGTTCTAACACAACTTTGCTCAGAAATCCCAGGGTTCAAGCTACATGTATGGTGCCTCAGTGGCTAAGTGTTAGTAGTGACTATAGATGCCAAAGGTTTGGGTTTGGAGCCAGTCATTCAAAGGGTAGATAACCCTATGCACTGGATAAATAGCTATGCAACACAGTGCTCAACACTAATGGTAGCCAACTAGCCACAGACTAGAAGTAATTCAGTTTTGGCTTGGGATTTTGGATTTCCACTAGCCAGTTTGGCTAGTAAACAAACTGAAATTGTTGTAACATCTAAGATGCCCCTAGCCACTTGGCTAGTAAGTTGAAAAGTAAGTGTTGAGCCCTGCAACAGCTTAGTGTTTATGAAATATACTATGCTATCCAGCAGAGAGAGGTTTATCTAGTTGTTAGTGTTAAAATAACTTCAGAGCTTGGTCTCTGATCTGAGATGTGTTCTCGCAAAAAATTCAGTCACTCTCCCCCTTAGAGTTTAAGTGAGCATGAGTGAGTTGACAGGAAAACCTGAAAAAACGCCCAGTATATATCCTGTATAGTTGGAGGGGATTCATGAGGTGGGGGGCAATGGGAGACGTAATAACACACCAACATAATTATATAATTGCTCTATGCTATTCATGTTATCCAAAGTTGTGTACACGTCTTGTTACTCCATAAAATAAAGGCTGTAGTTTCTCATTGATTTCTTTCACTTTTCAAACCATTTTTTTTTTTTTTTTTGAATTCAATAAAAATGAAAACTGGAGTTACCGAAGGTCCTTCATCTTCATTTTCGTGAGAGCCAACAGGATTTGTCAACAATAGTTTGTGTGTCATGTCACGGAGACCGGACCACAACCTTTCGTGATCTTTTTTCGGCAAAGTCTGCAAAGTCTCTTCAATGTCGAATGTATCATTCTTTGATTTCTGTTGCAGTTATTGAAGAAACAAAAAGAAAAAAATTCTTTAGTAAACAAAAGAAAACTGTACTGGCTAAAAACACAAGAAAAACTTCTTTCTGTAATGTATCCCAAAATAAAATGTACGGACGACTGAACCATGCTTGATAATTCAATGACAACTGCCGGGTTGCAGATATATGCTTGTAAACCAACATACGTGTAATAACATGAGCAGTCAGAATTGGGGTAATAGTAAAATCAACTCAAGTAAGCTCTGATAAATTAGCGGCGCGTGAGCAACGAGTGAAATCGAATCTTCGGCTTTCCGATCATGATCACTTACAATTGGCGCTGATCATGAACTTAATGCTTGCTCCGTATACTCAATTTTAAAAATTTTGGACTCGATATCAAAATATACGAAATGGTGACACCAAAATGTATGAAAGAAAGGAACATGGAATCCGCCATATAATTTGCGATCGCTCTGCAAAATAAAAACAGTAAGTTTTTACTAAAGTAGGTCACTTACGTGCTGTTCTATAAAACGAAGGAAAGCTTGTGGAGAATCGTTCACGACAGAGCTCAAAAAATGTTCTCTATGACTCATCGTAGAACGAAAGGTATTTGACAACAAAACGACCTATTATGGGAGAAAATACACCAAACAATCTGATCTAATTTTCAGCGATCGCGCGCGGTTTTTTTCGATCTAAAATCACGTGACACTCAAGTCTGGCTCCAGTCTTTCGCGAACGAGACGGCAATTGAGTCCGGATATTAATCTTTTCATTCTGGAAAATGAAGGATTAGATCAATAAACTTCAGGGAAATGGATAGAAAAAATGTTGCCGTAGGTGTAAACGTATAAATATTTTCCAAAATGAAAAATAAATTTTTAGAATCTTGTGCTCTTAGACGTAGGGGACACTTTGTTCAGCATAAATGAGTATAGTACCCTTTTGTTTCACTTGAGACAATAAACCATCATGGCGGCTAGAAAGAAAGATGGCGCTCCTGATTGGAAATACTACGAATCTCCTGACACCATCGCTCTTTTTGAAACGGTCAAGCAGTATCTGCTAAGAAACTGTAAAAAGGTTAGCATTAATTTTATCCGATGAAGGTTCACACTGAAAATACATTGTGCTGTAATTTAAGTTACTTGTCAAACAAATTTTATGTCGCGATCGATGAACACATGGCTCGAGTGAGGAGTTTTTGTAGTCCATGGTGTTTACACTGTGTTTCACACAATTGTGTTATCTTTTCCAGTATGTGCAAGTGGAACCACCTACGAATAAAGCTCTCGCAACACTAACAGCACAGCTGTTACAATTTCAAGAAGTAAGTGCGTTTATTGATCACAGGATACAAAATCTCACTGATTTACCTTCGGTTTTGTATGACATCAAGATTCATCTAATTCTACCAGCTCTGGAGCATCAGTGTTCTTTGATCTCTCTTGGTTAGAAGAGTGAGATTACTAAAAGTACATTTAGGTTGTAAAATCAATAAATTAAAATGCTAAACCAGTTACTTTAGTCAATACAGAAATTAATGGCGTGAACAAGTTACAAACAGCCATACATTAATTTTACGTTGTATGTTTTCGATTGATCGATTTTGTAAATGAATATTATATGAATCAGAATGATAGATCATCACAAGACTAGAAATACAATTATTCTAATTGATTTGTCTGTATCGTTATGTTATTGTTATTGGAATTAATTGCTCTCTTGGGTGCACTGTGCAGCACAGGTAGAACTTTGCATTAAAAGGTTATGATTTATTTTAATGATTTCTCAATCATGTTTTTCCTCATTAAGGATAACTTCGGTAAGGATGTAAGCAAACAAGCACTTTTGACAAAACTGCCTGTAAGTCTTTTGTTTGTTTTGTTTTATTTTTTTAATATTGTTCTTCACTTTTGTTGTCCAGACAGGTTGTAATATTTGTTGCTATTTTTGCCATCACCTGCTGTTTAACGTAAGTTGTGTTCTTTTTGTGATGTTGCAGATGAAGATGTTCATGGATTATTCTTCAGGTGGAAGTCTTTGCATTATCTTTGCAAATGTGTTTAAGACAAAGATGGAACAAGGATGGTGAGTTTTTCATTCAGTTGAGTTACATATATACATGTTCATTTTTTGTAAAACATTTAAATTGGAAGACAAAACATTCCCAAAAATACCTAAAATGTTCCATATCTTTAACCTATTGACTCCCACGAGTGACCAAGACAGAATTTCTCCTTTCAATATTAATACAAGTTCAAACACACAAGTAATGAGAATAAAGGAAAAAGTCAATTTGGGGATAATTTGTTCATTGAATACTATATTCTCTGAGCTAATAGAAGAATTATGAGATAGACTGTGAGTAGAATGACTAATGGCATCTGGGATTGAATGGGTTAATATTTAACAATTATTCCACAAGCGCACGTTGGAAATGAGACGATAGATAGCCAACGAGGCACGTAGCGCCGAGTTGGCTATAATTATTGGCGAGTGGAATAATTGTTTTATTAAAAAAACATGCTCCCAAGATACTAGACAAATCTTCTTGCCTTTATTTTGTTAAAAAGAAACCAGATGTTACAATGTACAGATGTTAGATTATGGTAAATTGGCTCATATACCATAATGGCTAAGCCAATAAAAAGTCTTGAATTGCATTATCCAATGATCCAGTTTTTAATATTATACAATGTACTCAAGTGTTGTGGGTCTAAGATTCTATCAGTAAGACAATGTTTGACTCAATATTTTTTCCAATTTTTTTTTCCTTGTTATGTTCAGGAGGAGATTTGACTTTCAGTCTCCCTCACGAATGGATAGAAATGTGGAGCTGTTCTTGAACATGGAAAAGGCATTGAGAGAGGTACATGTATGTTTGTGTCAGTTCACTGTGTTTTACCATGATGTACACTTTCTACTTACACAAAGATAATGTTTATTCCAGCATGATTGTATCAATTGATGTTATGCATCAATCAAACCAAAGCTAGAATATCCCCATCCCCTACGCATGGATGACACTACAATCAAATGCCTGTGGGTTTCACAGGGGTGGGACCAGAGAGGTGGGGAGTTGATCGGCACATTAATTTTCAATTCAGTTCATCTGCAAAACATCTGGAAACATAAGTGGCACTCTCATACAATTATCTTGAGTCAAGACCCTCTCGAAAGTCTCTTATTCATTCCTGATTTTTTTTTTGTTGATTTTATAGGCTAAACTCTTGAGTGTGCCAAATGTGTTCATAACACCAGAAGTGGATCCACGACTTACAGCCAAATTAAAGGATATTGTTAAAAGGCACAACGTAAGAATCTACAATAATTTTAATTGGTGATTTTTAATTACTTTAGCAAGCATGAACCCTTTCACTCACGGGTTGATCATCTGATACATAACTTAAAGCAGACATGTAATGAAAACTGAGAAGACAATCATATTCAGTTTAAGGAGATTGTCTTGATTTAACTTCGAATTCTTACAAATGGCTTAAACAAAGTATTTTCAACAGTTAACAATTGCATAGCTAGGTGGTGATTGAGTGCCTGAAACATCCAGAAGCTTCCACCATTGGCAGCTAGCTCCTAGATAGAGCCCTTTCCCATGGCCAGCATATCCTGGCAGCCCAGCCATGAGCCCCCACACAGGAAAGGGAAACAGTTACCCATCACGCTGAATAAACTGTGGAAAGAGGGAGGGAAAGGGGAGGATTTGGAAACTGCCTGGGAATGCTACAAGTACATACTCAAAGCCCATGCAAGAATGCCTCAAGTAAAGAGCACTTGAAATTCTGACACATTTTCATATACAAGAACAACTGACTATCAGAGAATGCTGATGCTCTTTGTTGTTAACTCCTTTAAATTATATTTAATTGCATTTAGGAGAATTTGCCCTTGGATCTCTGGGATGAAAGGATTAATATTTTTACATCATGTGTTTTTTCTTAATACATCCACATGTATCTATCCGAAGACAGTATTGTCTTGCATTTCTTTGGAAGTTTTTTTTTTTTTAATATTTAAAGTGCCTTGATTGTGCTTATAAATAAATCTGAAAGCTGTATCTTATAATTTTCATATCTTTATTTTTCAGGGTGCTATAACTGAAGACAGATCAGAAGCTAGTCATGTTGTTTATGGTCCTCCTCCACCCTTTCCAGAAGGTTTTTACTTTGTTGTTTTATTTATTGATTTTCAATATTACCGTTATTTGATCTCTTTATAAGTTATTTTTGTATTTATTTCATAATATAATTTTTTATGCCTTCAGAGGAGTGGCTAAGGCCTTTACTGAGACAAGACAAACAAGTTCTGGTACATTGGTGGTATTACCCTGACAGGTTTGGAAATTTCTATGCCTTAGTACTTTCAATCTACTCCACTTTCTAAGTACAGTTTTTTAATAATCGTAAGAATAACATAAATTTTTGAGTGGCTGATATGGAATGGGCATGGCAAGTAGCAACAAATTGTTAACAATTCCAATCAATATAGTTATCAAGCTTTCAAAATACATTAAATCTTGTAAGAAATAGACAACTTTTATGAGAGACATGTTTTGGCATGCTTATGCCATCTTCAATCAATGAGTAACAGAACATGAGTAATTATATAACAGATAAAGTAAAATTCCCAAAAGTAAAAATATGATTTTTTCAGTGTCTCATGTGGAATTCCCCTAATACATGTTCACTCATTTTCTAGCTATGACACCTGGGTGCCTTCAAGTGACATTGAAGATGAGCCTCAACCTGAGCCCCAACATCAGGGACCCTGGCAGGTAACCAAATAATGCACTTACAGTATACATCACGAACAGCAGCCAGAATTTTACTCAAATTTCAAGCTGCAGGAATGTGTACTGACTTAAACAAAAGTCACTGTTTACCTGCTGAAGAACATTTTTTAAGTACAATGCACAGTTTACTTTGTTTGCAATTCACAGCAAGTTCTCAATATAGTTGTACATGAAGAACTTTTTGAATATTGGACAAAGTAAAGAAAGAAAATAGTTTTTGTGCATATTTACATACATACATACATACATACATATACTTTATTTAATCTCGAATTTGGAGTAGCTAAAGGATAAGCTAGTATCTTCGAGTTACAAGTATAATTCTAAATACTACTAAAATGTAAAATGTAAAATTGTAACATTCTAAAATTTAGCTACGAGAAAGAGTCATACTGTAGAATCTTTTAATTTTCATTTACACCATAAATATTTGAAGGGTTTGCTCTTGAGAATATCCCAAGCATAAACTGCTGGTAGTGACAATCATGAATGCCCATTAGTCTGTGTTTAGGAATATTTGTGTAAACTTAGTGTGTGGGTTTCAATTAAATCTTGGGTGCAATTCTTTTTCTCCCTGATGTTTGATTTTTAAGTGAGCATTTTATGAATATGTCCATGTGCCTTTTTTTTGTTAATCTGTAGGTGAATGCCCGCTGGTTGACAGATCTTGATGTGTTTAATGAGTGGATGAATGAGGAAGATTACGAGTTAGCTGATACAGATGGCTCAGTGAGTGTTGATCTTTCCTTTGTGTTCTGCAAAAATAAGTTCTAAGAATTGGCATGTACATGCACATACATATGTAAGTCTTAACACCATTCTTAAGACTTTGCATTTCAATGAAGTGGCAACTACTTAATATTTACAATTACTGGTTATACCGGTAAGCTTTCTTGTTTTTTTTTGCCTATTTCCCTCTCTCCTTTTTTTATGGAAATGCCAACTTACAAAATTTCTGATGTCTTATTTGCAAATGTAAGAATAAGTCTGCATGTAGCTCACATGTTCATGTACAGTCCTTATTTAGGCACTTAAAAAGAGTGTCAAAAATTTTGTACACCGTGCACACCCTCTATTGTGCCATTAATGGTATTTTTCATTTTGTTTACCTCAGGGCAACAAAAGAGAAACATCACCAGCATTAGGTATGTACAGTATTCAAGTGCTACATGTACATGAGAATGTGTTAGAAGCTGGAGTACAAACAGCAGGTTATGCAAAGTGATTAACTTATAAGATTCAGAACATTTTTGCTTTGGAAAATAAAATTTTATCCCTTTGGGCTGAACTTTGCTTATCCAATAATTTCTTCACAAAATGCTGATCACTATTTTTATTTTGGAAGACTGAAAACTATAAGTCAAATAGAGATATCAAGCTTCTGATTTCCACTCTTGGATACTGTTTGGAAATGAAAACGGAAATCAAACAAACATGTTTATTTTATCAGTAAATGTAAACTCACAGTAAACACTGTAAGTACCAATGACTGCCAAACAATTTGCCACTCAAAACTCAATAACTTTCAACTGCAAAAGAAGAAGTTGCACACATCAAAAAAAAAAAAGTCCATGTGACTTGCTAACGACATTTTAACTTATGTAATCTTAAAGCATGTGCTGAGATTTATATTCATTTGATATTTTATGAAGTTGATTAAAGGTGTGTGTTTCTGAACAGGAAAGACGCGAAGGAAAAGCTTACGAACAGGTGCCAGTTCTGATGAGGTACATATAATTATGTTTTAGGTCAAATTATCAACAGCTGCAGGCTGTAGATAAGTCCTGTAGATAAGTCCCCAAAGTAAGGGTGCAAGTATAAGTGCAAAGCATACATATACATGTGAAAGGAAAGTGTACTCTTTAACCCAGCCCCTTCCATTTGAATTTTCCCTCATGAACTGGTATGTGAACATATTAATTAGCAACCTTTAAATCTCTTGTTAATAATGGCATAAAAGGGAATTCGATTGTGTTATGCAACACTGTAATTTTTCATTCCTCTTCATTTTCAATTTTACCTCATTTAACTGATTCTGCATGTAGAAAGGAGAAGTAGAATATAATTCAGGCTTCTAAACCTATACATAAAAGGAATTAAATGACCATATATTTATTGATTTTTAATGTATTCATGATAAAGTTTTTGTCTTTTCCTTTCTACAGCAACCTGGCAGCCCTGATGGAGGTAATTTTGGGAAAATCATTTTGTTTGTTTGTTTATTTGTATTATTTTCTTTTTTATAATTGCAATTGCAATTGTATTTATCTGTACTTATTATTTTTTTTATAACTGCAAACTTGTGGCATAGATAGGGTCCTCCCCCTAAACAATACGGTGCTTTTCTCCATAAATCAAATGGCAAATTTTTAAAAGGGTTTGATACCTGTAGACATTCATTTAAGATTATTCAATTGAAGAAACAAATTAATTTCTTTTACTGGTTACACGAGAGCTGTTAAGGAATAGGTTTACTTGTAGCAATGTATTTGTGCTTTTATACTGATAAATCTCACTCTCTGTGTTAAGGAAAACCTAAGAAAAGAAAAAGATCTCCATCACCTGATTCAAAGAAGAAAAAGAAACTGTAAGTCAACTTCAATTTCTCAATGTTCACGTTTACTAAATAATGATAATTTCACTTTCAGACACAGGTATACCAAGCATGTAGTTTAGGTGAGCTCAAGAGTCACAGGCTGCTAACTTTTGTCCTACCACGGGCCTAATGGCCGACTCTGTCTATTTATTATAAATCAGACATTTTTATCTGTTTTCATAAAGCTTTGCACGATAGGTTACCGGCTATACTAGTCGATCTGATTTTTAAGAAACGGGCCACAAATTATTCAACTCAGGCTTGCGCTTCCTTAATTCTTCCACCCTTCAACACGCCCTACATGAAAGACTCTGTCTCGTTTAGAGGCTCGGTCCTGTGGAATGCAGTGACCAACAATTGTAGTGCCCTGACAAAAAATATTTCATATCGTGACCTCAGGCTAAAGCTTAAATCTCTAGTTAATTTTATTGAATTCAGTTTTAAGATAACATCTGCATCCACTTGTAATTTTAAAAAAGATGACTTTGTATCTATCTAAATTTATGTTTACAATTCCACATTCGTAAGCACCGCTGGTTTAAGTTTAGACGTTCTCTACGTACCCCTAGGTTTTAGTTTTTAGTACATTTAGTGATTAGTTAATTGCAAACGACCCCACAAGCTCATGTAGCTTTAACACTCATCATTTTACTGAAATAAAGGCTATCTATCTATCTATCTTGCATAAGTTTACTTTCAGGAAAACTTTTAAGACGAGGACATCTCGGATTCCTGAGAAGAAACCAATTAGACTTCATACAACACTTGTAATAACACAGGTTTTAATACATCTAATCCACATATCCGAAATGTTTGCTCTTCAGATTTTTTTTATTTTTTTTTTGAAAATGAAGACAGCAACTTAAAAATGATATCAACATTGAATGATGTGCAAGAATATGTTTTTTCTTATTAGAGTGGGACCAGCAAATCCAAAGAAAAAATCCGGAAAAGATGAGGAAAATGACAGGTACTTCACAGATTGATTTTATGTGGAATGTAAATGAAGCTAACAATTTGAGCGTCTTTGTATCAAGTAAGGGTTATTGAGCAGTTTTCTCCTTTTGTTTTAGTGACGATGCTACGAAAGATCTTCCTAACCCGTCACCCATTTCTAATGTAAGCACGTTACCTAAATTGACACACTTGTTTTACATTTTAAAAGTTCAAAGAAGTTCAGGTGTATATACATTTAAAACGGTTGGTTACAGTGTCGGCAGTGGTGATGTTGCTTCCAAAAATGACGTTTGGTGTTTGTTTATAGGTTGAAGAAGTCTCCGCCTCTAGCACCTCAGGTAACTACACTTAATTTGGAATTGTACAGTGGAAAAAGGTTACTTATCTGCTTACAGTATGTCATTTAAAACTGTATTTCTCACAGTGCACCAACAGTTAGCCGCGATTGTAATGTTGTGAGACGTGAAAAAAGCAGTCGGTTAGCTGAAAAGGAAAATATTGGCAGACTTAAACAATTTTTTTTTTTTTTCATTTTCTCTTTCATCTGTGCTTTTAGCCTCCAAGGGAAAAGAAGCTGATTTACAACCTTTGAAAGGAAATTCATTGACGGACATCTCTGATTCAGGTTAGACCCTTATACCAATGGTTTACAGTCAAGTCGCCCGGAATTCATGTTGGCCGGAAGCTGAGTCGTATCGCCCGAAACTTAAGTCATGTCATGAACCTTCACCCTACCTCCCTACCCCCCCCGTACATGTACCTCGACCCTGCCCCGCTACCTCATAATCCTAAACCCATTCAAAGGTCCGTACCAATTATTTATTAATAATCAGTAGACAGTGCTTCATAATGGATCCTATTGGTCACGATTTTGTGTTCTCTAAACGCCTCAAGTATATTAAAGCGCGGTGAAACACTAGAAAAGGACAATCTATTTACCCTTGGAAATAAGCTGTAAAATGTTTCGTTTCGGTTTATAAGCAAAAAAAAAAAAACATGTTTGGATTGATTCATGCATGATAACAGTAGTAATTCAAGCTGCAAAGTCTCTTTTTAATATTCATTCCTTTTGTAAACAGCTTTTATCTTGATTAATCCCTTATATAGTTTTGATATATTGTAACGTATCTTAAGTGTCCCCAATTAGCAGCAATGCTAAATCTTTGTAGACACATTATTTAATAAAGTTATGATGATGATGATGATGATGATGATGATGATGATGATGATGATGATGAAGTATGGAGCAAAGAAGCTTTTTGATCATATGACCCAAGCTGTGAGTGACTTATGACTTGTCCCCCTCGTCTGTGTCGACCGTTAAAGCAGTTGCTCACTTTTTTTGTCTATCTTCTACTGATGCTGAATTGCAAACAATTGTTCCCGTCATTTTCATCAATAGGGAAGCCAGAGGGTGCTGATGTGGAAGAAATGGAGACGGAAAGTCATTCAGATACACAGGTACGATGGTTACTTCTTTCAGCTTTTCTTTGTACCAGGTTTTGCCCTGTACCTGTTGAATCGTTTTCTTCAAATCCTTTAGTTCATCATGTGCAACCCATATCAATCGTCTCCATCGGATCCACTATTATCCTCGTTCCTTTTTGGTTGATGGTTACCCCTGTTAGGTAACGAAGTAGGCGTCTTATTTTTTTCGCGAGGCGAGTGCGAGGCAGGCGCGAGGAGAGCACGATAGACGAGACTTGCGCGTGTGAAAAAACCAAAAAGAAAAAAAAGATAAATAGATAAACAACATTGTCGCCTGCGTGATTGTTTTTTCTGATCTTGAAAGGATCTCAGCTATCCTGCCTTTCGCGCGCTCGTCCGTAAAAAGCGACGCGTTCTTCGCAGGCTACCCTTGGGAAGGAACATTTTGTGATTATGTTCCATGGCATTTTTAAGGCAGATCTCTATTACATTCACGTTAAATTCACTCAAGATGTTTTAATATCAACAGGTGTTTATTAATTTCCGGAGTGAAAAATTCATCGATTATTTCTCGTAAGTCGTAATATTAAGATTATTAATCGCAAAGGACTCCACATGCGATTATTAGTCGCAAAGAGTGTTTTATTACGACTAATAATTGTGGAAAGTACGGCTATTAATCATGACTATATCATTAATAATCGTGTTTGACGATCTTTTAGACTTAACAATCAATTTATTACCTAAAAAGCCACGTGCGAAGAAATACTAAATTCTGGATTCTAAAATTCTGAAATTCTAAATTTTTGGTCGTATTGGCGGCCGTCGACAAAAAGTTCTGCTTGAACTTTTTTTGGAGAGGAGTATGATGAATGACGATAAATAAGCACATTTTGCTGTCAGATGCGATTATCAACCGAAAGATGCACGATTATTAAGTCTAAAAGCTCGTCAAACACGACTATTGATGATTTAGTCATGATTAATAGCCGTACTTTCCGCGATTATTAATCGCAATAAAACACTCTTTGCGACTAATGATCGCATGTGAAGTCCTTTGCGATTAATAATCTTAATTTTAAAACCTTACGACAAATAATCATTGAATTTTTCTCTCCATAAATTAAAAATCCCTCCAAAAATTAATAAACACCTGCTTATCATTTCCAAAGATAAACAGTGGTATTTGAAGTATGTGTAATTTGATTTCTATCTGTCTAGGATCAGCCTGAAGAGAGTACAGAGCAGTCTGCGCCTGCATCGCCCTCATCCAGCCAGACAAAAGATGGAATATTCAAAGAACCGCTGGTCGTGCAAGACACGGAGACTCATGATGAGAATCTGACAGAACAGACTCATCATATCATTATACCCAGCTATGCATCTTGGTTTGACTACAACAGGTATTGCTGCACTTTTTCTTTCGTACCCATACTCGTATGTTTATGCTAGGGTAACATTTTAGATCAAGTCGGCTCCATAGTTGTTGTTAACTGCTATTGAACGATGTTTACTGAATTATCGCGATTTTTCAGCAGCAAGTAGACCTTTTCTTAATAAAGGCTGATAGTTTCTAAAGAAACTGTTTGGGGCTGCGTCGGTGGGGGTAACGAAATAATTTCAATATATGAACAAAGTTGAAATGGTAAATTGGCCACCGTTAAGTTTATAAAAGCTGACGTTTCGAGCGCTAGCCCTTCCTCGGAGCGAATAGAGGAATTGTGGGTTGTGTGTGCTTTTAAAGGCAGAAAATGGAGCTACGTGATTGGTGGGAACATGGCAACGAGAAAAACACGAGTAAATTAGTGGAATGAAAAGCGTTCGTTGATACCTGTGGGATTTAGACTGCCGGTTTGAAAGATGAGCGTTTGTTAAAGAGTTTTACGGCTTTCCGTGCTACCTAGGTGTAAGGAAAGACCGCAGATTGCCATATGTTGCTTAGAATGATTACAAAATTGAAATGTCTAGCGACTGGTTTCGATGTGTCCTTGTCATTCCTCTCCACATCGTGAAGGTGTTCTCGGACCTTTTCTTAGATGTTCGAGACGAAAGGATTGAAAAAAAAGTTGGGTCTGTTTTCTTTTTACATGTAGAAAGGGACCGTTGTTGCGCGTTCAAGCATTCTAAATGCACTTGTCGAGACCTATTAGAATACAGCCGCTGTATCCTTGTTCTACTGGGTACAACTGTACAGTATGTACTTGAGCGCGTCGAGTGCCTCTATAAATGCGCGGTTGAAAATTATAGAACAAGTTAATGGATGGCGGTTGGCTCGCTGGAACCCAGTTACCTAATGGTTCTTGGAACTTACTTTTTCAAATACGTGCGATTATTTTTCTTTACAGCGTCCACGCCATTGAGAGAAGAGCCTTGCCGGAGTTTTTCAACGGAAAGAACAAATCGAAGTCTCCTGAAGTGTGAGTAACTGAGACGGAAGAATTCGTTGACGTCTTGATTCAAGTGTGCATGTACATGTACATTGAGAAAGATCCTTAGCTGCACCACGGCTTTTTCCTTGAAATATTTTCGTATTTCGTGGTTTGAACAATCCATCGCTATCCAAGTTTATGGGAAAGGGCATCGTTTCCTTCCCAGCGTTTTGTGCGTTTTCTGTATTTTCTTTCACTTGACGGACTAACCTGAAGAAGGGAGACCGCCATAGGTCAGTTCTTTTGCATGTTTTGGATTTGTTTAAATAGCCACATCACAGCTCCAGCATCTGGGAAAATTCAACTCAAAATTTTTTAAGTTTATCTGGTGAAATTTGCATTTATTGTTTCCATCGTTTCTGTTTCTTTGTTGAAAATTGACTTGTGTTAAACTTTATTGTCTTCTAATGTTAAGATGTTGTGATATGCTCCAGTTTGACAAGAGTTTTGTTCGGCGTTAAAAATTCCAGCTGCATGCTGTATTTAACGTCCTAGAATTTGTTCGCACTTTATACATGTACCTGTATGTACATAAGACCCCTGATGGACCCCCCCTCTGTCACTAACATGTTACGGTTTTGATGAATCATTTGTGCTGTTATTAAATTTGGAAAGTTTCAGTTTTAATATGGAGAAAATTGTGAAAACTTACCCACATGTAGATACTCTCGAAGAACATGCAATGACAAGTTAACGTAACATTGCAAATAGTTTGAACCCGCGAGGAGCCATTAATTTAGTAGTATTGTTGTCCGGGCAAGAAGTCATGCAGATACACAGGTA